GGATTATCCTTTGTCCCTGTCCCCCCATTTAATAGTTTTGAATGGGTAAAAGACATCCACCTCTTTGGGAGACGCTTAGCCTTACATAAATTTTTCCAAAATGAAAAGGAGAAAAGAGCTAAGGATCTGGGGTTCAGTATTAGAGAATACCAATGCCTGAATGACCTAGTACATCTCCTGGAAGAGAATGACGAAACATCTAACTCCCCCTACACTGACTTACGTCCTAAGAGTAAATTTACCCCGAATATTAAAGATTTCAGAAACATAGACATGTTTGTAGAATCCACTTGCAATATGATTCAAAAATTGCGGATCGATTCTTTACAACCTCGTCCGTACAGTAATCTCTCTGGGAAAGAATGGCGAGCCCTCTGTGACCTACGTGATCGCGAGGATATTATCATTAAACCCGCCGACAAAGGTGGGAATATTGTGGTGCTAAATACACCACAATATATCCAATTGACAGAAAGAATACTCACAGATGTGAACACATATAAAATCTTGCCCACAGATCCCTCTATGAAATTTTTGTCAGAACTTAAAGGACTCCTAGACTTAGCGTTCGATGATGGTATCCTGAGTAGAGATGAATATGCCTTCATCTATGTTAAAAATCCGACAGTGTCAACATTTTACTGTCTACCCAAGGTACACAAACAATACACAACCTTAACAGCAAGACCAATTGTGTCGGGGTCACAAAATTTGACATGTAAAGCTAGCATATATGTTGACAAAATACTTCGATCTTTTGTAGAGAAATTACCCTCCTACTTAAGAGATACGAAGGATACACTTAAATGTCTGGCCTCCATTCATATTCCAAGTGATGCTATACTTTGTAGCCTTGATGTGGAGGCCCTATACTCATCTATTCCACATTCTTTAGGATTAGCACATGCCAGACATTTTCTAGAGACACGGGGGTCTAGACACCAACGCCATACCTCCTTTGTATTGGATCTACTACATTTTGTGTTAACGCACAATTTTTTTCTATTTAATGGCCAATACTACCACCAGGTGCGAGGCACGGCTATGGGCACATCTTGTGCACCTTCATATGCCAACCTGCACCTGGGTTGGTGGGAAGAAAAGGTGGTCTTTTCCAATGACAACGTTGAGTACACAAAGTTCATCTATGTATGGAAAAGATACATAGATGACGTTCTCATCGTCTGGACGGGCACTAAAGACTGCTTTGCAACATTTGTAGAAAGACTAAATTCCAACAATTTGAATCTAAAATTTACAATGGAGGTTGGAGATACATCCCTTAATTTTCTTGACTGCACCTTTAGAGTCACTACCAAACACAAGATTGAGACCACTTTATTTAGGAAACCTACTGCAACAAATACAATGCTACGTTGGGAAAGCCATCACCCAACTTCATTAAAAAGAGGTATTCCCATTGGACAATACCTCCGGTTACGCAGGAACTGTTCAACAATTGAAGAGTTCACCACTCAAGCCAGGTCACTCAGAACTAGGTTTAAGGATAGGGGGTATCCCAATCGCTGTTTGAAATACGCATACCAAAGAGCATTATACAGTGACAGACCGGAACTCCTCAAAGATAAACCAGTTTCTAATGAACCAACACTGATTCGGTGTGTTACTAACTTTGACTCAGGTTGGAATCAGGCGAAAAAGATCTTGGGGAGATTTTGGCCTTTACTATCCCAAGACTCCCAACTCAAAAGTGTAGTGACCCCTAATGTATCACTTACAGCACGTAGAGGTAGAAACCTCAAGGAAATTCTAGTACCCAGTCATTTCTCGGGGAAGAAACCCGGAAAAAACTGGTTATCCACGCAAGGAACTTACAAATGTGGAAGATGTGTAGCGTGCAGATACATTAGTAAGAACTCTAAATGTCTGACAGACTCAAGTGACCAAACGGTGCTCAATGTGAAGCAATTTTTTAATTGCAACACTAAAGGCATCATATACCTTATGGAGTGTACATGCGGACTAAAGTACGTAGGCAAAACTATTCGTCCCCTCAAAAGGAGGGTAATGGAACATGTACATTCTGTCCGAAATCCTAGGGATACCTCAGTGTCACGACACTTGAGGAACTGTCACCACGGTGACTCAGGTGGTTTGAAGTTTGCAGGGATCGAGAAGACCCTCCTGGGACGTAGAGGAGGTGATCTTGATCTTACCCTCCTCAAAAGGGAATGCTATTGGATTTATAGGTTCAAAACTTTGGCACCCTATGGACTAAACGAGGGCTTTACATTTACTCCCTTTATAGATAAATAAGAGTACTCAGGACCAACTTTAATATGTTTAGTTATGTGTATAGTGATTGTATGTACATGTTTTTTAGAAATTATTTATGTTTTAATTTTTTGACACATAAGAGGCTGTGAATTCAAATCAACTTTTGACATGGTAGTATTAGGACGCACATGTGTTACATGGCTAATGGGGCATTTTGTGACAGGTTTATGAGGGCTTACACAGTTCCCTCTACCCAGTGTCACCGTTAGGGGCAGTGCTCTATATATGGTACCAACTTCGAGTGATAACTTTACAGTTATCCATAGTAGGACTAGTCACCACTATTTTGGGATACATATGATCCAGGTTATCAGTTTGCAATACAAGCAATATGTAGATATACTAGGATCTATAGTCATATCCCTACAATACAGCCTTAGAGAATAGAGGTTGATTATATTTACCTTTCTGTATCCACTTATCTATATGCTTCATAAGTTTCTTTTATTAACAAATAATAAACTCCATATTATGGGATATCAGACAGACAAGATGAAGGGCTCTTTATTCATATATATATTAATACATTCTGCTCTTTTTTATTACATATTTCTTCCTCTCACTTTAAACGATCGCTCCCCCGATGAGACACCACGTGGACTTGTTTGTTTACTGATAGTCCATTTAACAAATGCTTTGCCACGTAACACCAAAGGGGGGGGGCTTGCTGGGACTCAGTTCATTGAGTCACTAGCAAACATACACACCCCCCTTTCTCTTTCCTGTTCATACGCGTCTACAAATGCATGCCAAGTGAATTTGAAGGCGTGGCCTGTTCGGGCGAAAAAAAATTTGGGGGCGCGAACAGTAAGCACACGCCCCCATTCTCCTACTGGCGGCACTTGGTTATTTAAACAGCCTTGTGTGCACTATGAGGTCTGCTAAGCCTCGGAAGAAGGCGCGTTCTATAGCGCCGAAACATATGTTAGGCAGTAGGCAGGGAGACTAGTGATTTTGATTATAGGCAGTAAGATCAGCGATCTCTTCCTTAATTTATATCTCTTACTATTGATAATATCAGAGAGCTAACAGCTATCTCGAGGATTTTTGGCTAGGGTTTATTTTCTTTCTCTGGCTTACTTCGTGTGTTATTTTGGTATTATCTGAGCTCAAGATCTGGGTTATCTAAGTGGGTGGGTTGGTATCTATATTTACAGACTCCCTATATGGGAAGGGGGTGCCTTATGCCCTCCACTCTGCGATTTTGCCTCAAGGGATATTTTGTATACTCTGTCAGTTGGACATACTGATATCCACTCTGCATTGATACAATGTTCATAGGTATCATTTTGTTGCCATACCCCAGTACTATATGTAGTCAGTGCTATTCAAGCAACCATTGAACCAGCTGTCCATATCACAGTTAGCAACATCAAGGGAGAGATCAGCCAAGGAAGGGCTCTTCTGTCTATTTTTTAGATCCACGCATGTGGCCTCAGTATTAGAGATTTTGCCTTTATTCCTCTACCTGCATTGAATCTAACTCTCTGGTCTCCCTATTTTTTTCAGACCTTTCTTTTCTTTTAATTATGTGTATGTGTTTTTTATAATTACTATTAAAAGTTACGTTTTATACACATGTAACTCTATTTAGGGGCTTTCTCACTTTTGACCCAGAGGGTCTCTCTTTTCTGTTTTCTCTACACAAGTATATGTGAGGGTTATCCCCTTTTCTTGGTTAGCCCCAGACACACACCTTTGCAAGGCACCCCTCTCTTAAGGGGCCCCTTGCTTCTTTGTTTTTCCAAAATTAAATATTTCCTGCAAAAAGTATTATTTACAGATTAGAAACTGTGTATTTTTTAATTTTAACCACTTTGCCTCTTCTTCCGGTAAACTTCACCATAGACCAGATTCGAGCGATCATGGACAAGAATTCCAACATTAGAAATATGTCTGTGATTGCTGATTTTGGCCACGGCAAGTCCACACTCACCGACTCTTTGGTGAGCAAAGCTGGTATCATTGCATCTGCCAGAGCAGGGGAGACACGTTTTATGGACACACGCAAGGATGAGCAGGAACGCTGCATCACTATTAAGTCCATGTAAGTACCAGCAAGTTGTTTAAGAAGAATCATTGCACTTGTGCTCCATGTTGACATCTCTTTCTAATATGATTCTTTATAATTTATTTTGTGAAAAATACCTTTTAGTTTAGAACAGAAAAACAATGTCTTATACGTAGCAGGGCCACAAACTATTACCCATTCACAGATATGCCTCTTTGTGGATCCACTTAAAGGGACACTCCAGACCCTTAAAGCTGAAAAGCTTTATGTTTGAATAGTGTCCTCTTTTTTCATTTTAAAAAGGGAATATTTCGATAGAAATTGACACTCTACAAATGAAAATGGTTACACTTCCTTGGCTTTCAAGCAGACAGATGGTCCTGTTACTTTCTGGTTTGGTTAGCTCAATGGCAGGGCCGTACTGGGAAAAAAATTAGGCCAGGGCATTTTTCAATCAGAGCGGCCCCCTAAGAAGGGGGCGGGGCCAGAGAGGGTGTGTTTTGTCATCACTAATTACAAGCACGCCCCCTCTCAAAGTGAGCATGTTGGTTCAATGCCCAGAGCCCCGCTGAAGAACTCTGGCATTAGAAAAAGGCCCTGTATTTGTTCTGCGCAGCGCAAGCAAATTTATTAACATGCTTGCGCTGTGTTTGCTTTTAAATTGTCTCTGGTGTCTCTACAAGTGGGATACCAGAAGACAAAAGGGCCAGGAAAGTGTATGGTGCATGTGTTTGGAGCCTGCTTGTGGGATTGCGTGTGTGTAGAGTGTGGTATTTTGTAAATAGGTCAATTTCATTTGTGTTTGTGGTGTAATATGTGTGGCTAGGGGCTGTAGAGAGTGTGTGTATAGGGGGCATAGTGTTATAGGGTATGTAGCGAGTGTGTGTATACGGGCTGTAGTGTGTGTGTATAGGTGACGTAGTGTGTGTAGGGGTTGTAGAGAGGGTGTGTTTAGAGAATGTTGTATGTGTTTGCTGACAAGGAATGTAGTGTGTGTGTAGGTGGTGCAGTGTGTGTGTGTGTGTCTGTAGGAGATCTAGTGTGTAAAGGACCCTGAGTGTGTATAGGAGATTGTGGGTGTGTGTGTGTGTATAGAGGATTAAGAGTGCATATAGGGTAAGGGATCTAGCGTGTATCTGGAGCGTAATGTGTGTAGTGGTGCAGTGTGAGAGGTGCTGTAGTGTGTGTGTGTAAAAGGGGTGCTGTGTGTGAGGGTGTTTTTATCTGCCGTCACATTCTAGGTTTCTAATTTTCTTTGTTAACTCACTGAGGGTTATTTTATATATTATATATTGTGATCCTTGTTTGCAGGTAGCACGGTCCTCTAGGGCAAAAACATGCACAGTCCTTGTAATTGCAAATACTCCAGGCACTTTATTTGTAAGTTCACACAGGATACAGCAGTAAATGAAAACAAATGTAACACAGAACCTTATAAACAAAAACCTAGCTCGTTTGACCACTAACTCACTTTGAATAACCCTCTCTATCAGGGTTAAACTAACAAAACATACTGCACCAACCTTATTAGTTAGCAACACTCTGCTAGCTAGCCTGTTGCTTTCCTTTCTGCACTCCCTGTGCTCCAAGCCAGCCTTGCCCTGGCTGCTTTCCTTTCTGCACTCCCAGTGCTCCAAGCCAGCCTTGCCCTGGCTGCTTTCCTTTCTGCACTCCCAGTGCTCCAAGCCAGCCTTGCCCTGGCTGCTTTCCTTTCTGCACTCCCAGTGCTCCAAGCCAGCCTTGCCCTGACTGCTTCCTTTCTGCACTCCAAGTGCCTAGTCTCCTTGACTCTATCTGGAGAGAACAGCCTCTCTCTCCTACCTGCTTCCTGGGAGGAAGCCAGCAATCCCTCTCCTTTACCTGCCTAGCAGGGAGGAGTTTATTCCCACTGCAACAGCTCATTAACTGCAGCTGAGCAGTGGGTTGGAGACGGTCCAAAAAACCCTGGCCTGGATCTACGTCTCCCCAGAAACCCACTAAACTGTGGAGTGGAGCATTGGCCCACCCTTCTCTCCAAATGCTCCACCCCAGGGGCCCATAACTAAGCAAAGCTTTGTGTTGTGCAACACAGAAACTACACGTACTTCCCCTGGGGTTAAAAGGCCTATCTGCCTTCACTTTATCACATAATATATATATATATATATATATATATATATATATATATGTGGGAGTGTGCTGTGTGTGTGAGCAAGGGTGCTGTGTGTCTGAGGTTTCGCTGTGTGTGTCTGAGGGTGCGCTGTGTGTGTCTGAGGGTGCTGTGTGTGTCTGAGGGTACGCTGTGTGTGTCTGAGGTTGCTGTGTGTGTGTCTGGGGTTGCTGTGTGTGTGTCTGAGGGTGCTGTGTGTGTGTCTGGGGTTGCTGTGTGTGTGTCTGAGGGTGCTGTGTGTGTCTGAGGGTGGTGTGTGTGTCTGGGGTTGCCGTGTGTGTGTCTGTGGGTGCCGTGTGTATGTCTGGGGTTGCTGTGTGTCTGGGTTGCTGTGTGTGTCTGGTTGCTGTGTGTGTCTGGGGTTGCTGTGTGTCTGGGGTGCTGTGTGTGTGTCTGGGGGTGCTGTGTGTGCTGTGTGTGTGTGTTCTGTGTGTTGTGTCTGTTGCTGTGTGTGTGTCTGGGGTGCTGTGTGTGTGTCTGGGGTTGCTGTGTGTCTGGGGTCTGTGTCTGGGGTTTGTGTGTCTGGGGGTTGTGTGTCTGGGGTGCTGTGTGTGTGTCTGTGCTGTGTTGAGGGTTGCTGTGTCTGGGTTGTGTGTCTGTGGGTGCTGTGTGTGTTCTGGTTTGCTGTGTGTGTGTCCTGGAGTTGCTGTGTGTGTCTGGAGTGTGTCTGTGCTGTGTGTCGAGTTGTGTGTGTGTCTGGGGGTGCTGCGTGTGTCTGGGGTTCTTTGTGTGTGTGTCTGAGGGGTGCTGTGTGTGTCTGGGGTTGCTGTGTGTGTGTCTGTGGGTGCTGTGTGTGTGTCTGGGGTGCTGTGTGTGTGTCTGGGGTTGCTGTGTGTCTGGTGCTGTGTGTGTGTCTGGGGTGCTGTGTCTGGGGTTGCTGTGTGTGTCTGGGGTTGCTGTGTGTGTGTCTGAGGGTGCTGTGTGTGTGTCTGTGTGTGTGTCTGGGGTGCTGTGTGTCTGCTGTGTGTGTGTCTGGTGTGTGTGCTGAGGTTGCTGTGTGTGTGTCTGGGGTGTGTGTCTCTGTGTGTGTGTGTCTGTGTGTGTGTGTCTGAGGGTGCTGTGTGTGTCTGGGGTTGCTGTGTGTGTGTCTGAGGGGTGCTGTGTGTGTGTGTCTGGGGGTGCTGTGTGTGTGTCTGGGGTTGCTGTGTGTGTGAAAAAAAAAAAGTTATATCCCCCCCTCCCTTCTTACCTTTAGCCTGGGGGGGGGGGGAGCCGTTCTGCCTGGAGGTGAGGAGCCGTTCTGCCATGAGGGGGGACAATGCTGCCATCCCTGGTGGTGAGAGTGAACTCTAGCCTTTAGGCTAGAGTTCACTTTGGCGAGATCTGAGTGGCCGTGGCAAAGCTCAGAATCCCGCGAGAGGACCCGGCGGAGCTGCTGGTTAGAGCCCCGTCGGTCCTCTCTCCTTCCTCCCTCCCTCTCCTGCTGGCGGCCGCCTGTAACTGCCTGTGGGCCGGTGAGGGAGATCTTTGATCTCCCCACCGGCCCATGGAGGCATACAGCGGGGCCGGCGCTCGGGCATTTGCCCGGTATGCCCGATGGCCAGTCCGGGCCTGCTCAGTGGAGTTATACTCAAGAGGCAGCAACTGCTCAGAGCACCTGCCTTGCAAAGACTTCTCATTGAGTTGCATTGGGAAGTCTGTGATTGGACAGCTACAGAAAGTCAGATGTGGTTAGAAGGGGAGGACTTGCAACCACATGGAATGGTGGTGGATGGGGGGGTGGGATTTCAATGCTGTGCAGTGTCCTGCTGTTGACAGAAGCTTATGCCGTTGCAAGCAATACGATCCAACCCGGGAATACAGGAGGTCTTGGTGTCGGAATTTGCTGATGATGTACTGTTGACTTCAACCCACCCCAGGGAATCTATGGCAGCACTGGCAGAAGTGTTGGAAAAATACAGCGACTTGGCAAGATACAAAGTTAACCTAAATAAATTGAGTGCCCTGCCAATTGGCCTCTCGGCAGCGGACACGGCACACATTGGACATACAACATCCATATAGCTCACCACCATATTAAATATTTGGAGCTGGGAGGAATAATTTTAAGAGTATAGAACATGCCGGAATGCAGCAATTTTGCCACTTATATGAGGGCAGCTCTTTGATAACTTTCAATGAGCTGAAAACTAGGGTCCCCCTAAAACCATATGATTTTTTGGGGTTATATCCAACTTAGGGAATATGCTCAACAAACACAGCCAACATTTTTCGAGAAGATGTGCTACAGGGAGCAATTTCCAAGGGGCCTAATTACTGCTGTGTACGCTCACCTGAGCACCAATACTTTTGAATGGGGAGATTTTATGTATATTGATCAGTGGGAAGTAGGGATGTGCAAGATCCAAAAATTCGGTTCGGAAATTAGGGTAAAAAAAATGAGGGTAAACAAAAATTCGGCAATTCTGAAAATCTGTAGGGCTCCCTAACCCTAACTATACCCCTACACTAAGCCTACCCTAACCCTACTTTGACCCTACCCTAACCCTAACCAACCCCTAACCCTGTCATCATTCACATAATTTTCCCTCCCTCTCTTTTTTTTTGCCACTTTTCTGAAAGCCAAAGCACTTCAGCACTTAGGCAATTCAGTCGGTTCAGCACTTCCGAAATTCAGAACTTCGGCAATTCGGCACTTCGGACATTTGGAAGCCTCCGAATTGACCGAAACAAATTGCACATGTCTAGTGGGAAGCTGATCTAGGTGAAACATTAGAGGGGGTTGAGTGGCAGGAAATATGGGAAGCGAGTGCAACATCGTCCATATGTGTCACCATGCAGGAACAGTCCCTATAAGAATTTGTTTTGACAGTACACCACTCCTGTCAAACTGCATAGAAAGAACAAAATTCCCACTGACTTATGTTGGAGAGGGTGCAGACAGAAGGGGACTTATATTCATATGTTGTGAGTAAGAACAAGGGGGAGGGGTGGAGTAAGTAGAAGAGGTGGAGGGGTGGAGTAAGAAGAAGAGGGGGGAGTGAGAAGAACACAGGGAGAAGGGGAGATGAGGAGAACACTGGGAGAAGGGGAGATGAGGAGAACACAGGGAGGTGGGAGGTGAGAAGAACAAGGGAGAGGGGGTGAGGAGAACACAGGGAGGAAAGGTGGGTGGGTGTGAGAAGAGACCGCCAGGGGAGGGTGGGAAGAGGAGAGACCACTAAGGGGCAAGGGAGAGCTCTAAGGGACAGAAGAGAGAGCTCTATGGGACAGGGGGCAGGACAGAGAGCTCTTTCACACTATGCGCACACACACACACACACACAATGGATCCCTATACATACACAGAAACACACAATGCATTCCTACACACACAGAAACACAACATGCTTCCTTTACACACAGAGAAACACACAATGCATCCATTACACACACAATGCTCACTACAAACAAGCCCACTGACACACACACACACGCTTACTACAGACAAGCACTCAGATACACACATATGCTCCCTATAGACAAGCTCACTGACACACATGCTTACTATAGACAGGCTCACTGACACACATGCTTACTATAGACAAGCTCACTGACACATAGAGGCATATTACAGATAAACGCACTGAGACACATGCATACAAGCTCACTCACTAGCAGGCACATACACACAACATCACTCTCAGTCATGGGCTGCTTAGTGTTTGAAGCCTGCCTGGCACTGCAGGATGTGGGAGCACTAGGAGCTGGGGCGGATCCAGAACCTAATCTCGGGAGGGACACTGGTAGATTTAAAGAAACAATCCAGGCACAATAACCACTACAGCTCTCCCAGAGTAAGTAGTCAAGCCATTTAAGAACAGTTTGACAACTTACCTGTGGTCTAACAGGGTAGGGGCTGTAGTAGGGGTTAGGGCCTGTACTAGGGGCAATAGTGTGTGTGTGTGTGTGGGATGCAATCAGGGCCCGATTAACATAGGAGCTGATGGAGCTGCAGTGTGGAACGAGTGCATTATTAGACACATTTATGTCAAGCTCAGGGTGCTGTCTGCATAGTATGCCATTAGTTGACCCGCCTGCATCATTATCAAGTAAAACACAAAACTCAAAAAACAGGTTGTGCTGAATACTGTGTGTATTAAGTCCAATTCTTTGGAAGATCCTGGCTTGGATTAGTTCTGGCTTTAGTTGGTGATGTGTATATGTAATAAAACAGAAAATAACCAGTAAAAGTGCAGATTGCCAGATACTTAGTGTAGGACACAACAAGGATATTAATAATAATAATAATAATAATAAAAAATGTATACAGCGCCAACAAATTCCATAGCACTTTACAATAGGATGTGGGTATCAGTTTTTCAAATGGCACAGTTGATCATACATACAGTCTGTGATTCAATCAAAAGAAATACTAGACAGTCCGGACGCTCAGAGTTCATAGTAAGCAGACTTAATGGAACATAACACGCATATGATGAAGTTTTGGTCACACAATGTGACAAAGCTTGTGACAAATGTCAGACTGTGTCAACCAAAACATCATCATATGCGTGTTATGTTCCATTAGTCTGGTTCCAAAGAATTCTGATTGACCGGACTGTCTACTATTTCCAATTGAGATACAGGTTGTTTTGGCTTCCCCAAAGCCTCGACCACCTATTTCCTTTTTGTATTTATAAGCAGAATTCAATTTAATTCTGAGTGCAATCTCCTTTTATATATATATATATATATATATACTGAGGGAAGGGCTGGTGCTCCTTAAGAAGGGGAACCAAGCCCCTCCCACAACGTCAGGCCTTCCAGCTGCAGGGTTAAAACTAGAGGGACCTGGCACCCAGACCACTTCATTGAGCTGATGTGATCTGGGTGTCTGTAGTGGTCCTTTAAGTGTATGTGTATCTGCATGCACTGGCATACACACCGCAGTCCATGTGTTGTGGCCCCTGCCCGCGCAAAGTAAGTGTGAAATACAACCAATCAATCCGTACAATACACACAGACACTCCCACACAAAATCCTCCCCTCTGCCTGTGATATGATTACTGAACACAATGGGTAATATAATTATCACAGGCAGAGAAATACAGTTTTTACAAAATATTAATAACTTCCCAAATATACATGCCATTCACATAAAACATACATTTTCAGAATCTGCATGCTTGAAATATATACATACTCAAAAATCAGGGCAATCGGTTCAGGGGTTAAAAAGTTAAGGGAAAGTCCTATTTGACAAAATGAAGCATGGTTTTTCTGCCCAAAACCAGTTCCACAGAGTCTTCTATCCTGGAGATAATTGGGAAGTAATCCAATTATCTCCAAGGACAGAGGCAAAACTCCATTAGCCACATGGTAGCAAAATACAATAAAATACATAAAAATATATAACTGTGCAGCGATTGCATAAAACGGGTACATTCAACATATCCCCAGATAGCTTAGATCTGAGTGCAAATTATTACTGAATGGCGCTCAGATCACATACATACAGTTCAATTGCCATGGAGCCAAAGTCTTTCACATAGTCTTTCGTTATACGAATGGGCTCCATGGCATAGCTATCTGGGGTAACACTGCTCACATAGGGAAAGTACCGAATGACCCGGCTTTCGGGTCTTTGCAAGGGAAAATCCAGCATTTCAACATGGGGCCATAGTCACAGGGCAGGAGGCTGCCAATCAGTCTTCTCCAATGCCCAGTGGCGAGGCTGGTTCCGCCACAACCTGTCCACCAGACAGAGTCACTATATGACCGGGTGAGAATACTGTTATTTTCTAGATTTTATATCCTTATAGGTTAATAGGTTCCCTATTTTTCGCCACCCTTTCTACCTCATTTTGAGAGTAGACTGTCTCTTTATATTTTCTACTCTGCTCCACTTAACTACTACCTATAAGTAAAGAGACAATTTGTTTTCTGTTTGTCACACTGCTTGTTATTGATCTCTCACTATGGCACTATATTATACACTTGTGTTTGTAGGTTGATCCAGTAATCGGTACTGTGGGGTTTGGATCTGGTCTGCACGGTTGGGCTTTTACGCTATAGCAATTTGCAGAAATGTATGTTGCTAAATTTTCTGATGAATGTGAGAAAGGGGTGGTGGATCCAGCTGAGCATGCAAAGAAAGTCGAGGATATGATGAAGAAGCTATGGGGAGACACGTGAGTAGGGATCAGATATGAGCCCTATGGATTAAAATATAGAGCTCCCAGCCAGCCCCTAAAAACATATCTTGTGGCTCTTCAGGGCATACAAAGCATGGAGTAAATTTCATCTAAAATTATAGAAAGGGAATATCTTCCCATCATCTTGTTAGCCGTCTTTCTTCTAGTGGTCCCATTTTAGATCTGTGGTTTGAAATGTTGACTTTTTATCAGGTAATAATAAACAATGAACTAATGAGGCAAAAATGTGATTCTTTGTGGAACAAATTTGCATATGCCCACCCAGAATCCATTGCTATAGTAACATCACTGCAAGATTGTGATTTCTGTGGGAAAAGCAAGCCTTGTGGCTTGACTGGTGTGCAAATCTATGTATAACAAAGTATTGACTATCCACTGACTTCAGGTAGAAGGGGTTTTCAATCACTATTTTTCCCCACCATAACTTTCTTGGTTTGTGCTCTGCAATATCAACAAGCCTCACTAGCAAGCCAGTAATCAACCTAATAGATAAAAGTAGGTTAAAGACCTGCATGTACTAGGAGATAATTACCTAACACTAGAAATGAACTTTTAGGAGAAGTGGTCTATAATTTCATAAAAAGTACCACTCATATATGCATACTATGCTAAAAATACAAATACACGTATAAAAATGGAAAATGCAGAAGGTAAAACCACTAGGTGGCAGCCTTGTAAACACAACATGCTACATCAAAGAGTGAATTATCAACTAAGCAGTGAATAATTCTGAATAGACACAATAGCTGAAAATACATAAAAATCAAGATGGGTAGTCCAAACATATGAATCGTCCCATAGAATCCAAGGTTGTATAAGTCTAAAACAGAGTCTAGATTGAAGATATGGTCCAAAACACAGTTCTTG